GCCAAACTACACTGAGGCTGCAGTGTGAAATTAATGACTTTCCAGGACTCTAGAATGTGCTATCAGTATGCATCCAACTCGCCTCTCCCTGAGCTTAAGTTTCACTGTCCTGACATTGTCTGCACGTGTCTATACCCAGTTGCATTTTCCAGCCCATGGGCAGCTCCACAATTAAATGCCACATTCACCAGGAGAAAGGTGTGCAAAACAGATTTCAGATCCTTTAAGGTAAAAGGCACAACTTGCAACACAACAAGGAATGGGGTGATTTAAGAAATTACAGCACTGTTCTTTTAAGCTTTCACAGAATAAACACAGAATGGGAGGGAAACTTTCCCCCTCTGCTCCTGTTCTTGAAGTGAATACATATTTGTGTTTCCAATAAAAGGCCATTTTTACATTAACTGTCTGTAACAGCAGGAGACAGAAAAACTAACACAATCTCCACATCACACACAGGATGATCTTCATATCACGTGGCTCTATTCTCAAAACTATTATTTAACAAAAGCAACCAGGAAAATGCACAATGCATCTTTTCTGTGTCACCGAAAGGGTAACATCGGAAGAACTTTGGGATCTTTGAGATCTTCCACATTTTAGACTTATTTTTTTTCTTTTTGGCTTGCCGAAGTAAATTTAGCAGCCATGCGGGCCACTGTGTTTAATTAAGCTTTCAAAAGTCCTCTGACAATGCCAACAATTGTAAGACACTTCTGTGGCTCAATCATGCAATCGCTGTGACAGTTCTATTTACAATTTGTCTTAGAAAGAGTTTCTCTGACATTGTACTTTGACAAAACATCCAAGCTGCCAGTTCACAACCTTTCTCTGCCTTATTTACAAATACATCCTGTATATAGGACTCCTAGTCTCATGAACATGAGCTTTTGGGTAACAGCCTCACAAACATGGGCTCCCAATGAAAATCCTAGGTATTTCTTAGGAAACAATATTCTCTATTCTCTGGATGCTAAAGGAAGGTAAATAAAATGTTCAACAGCATACTGAGGGGTTTTTTGTTAGTCTTTTTGGTTTTTTTTTTTTTGCTGCCATTCTACAAATTCACGTCAGAAGTCAGTGGTTTTTATTCAGAATCACACAAATAAAGAGAAATGAAAAATAAGAGGTTATAATAGGATAGTGTAATTTATAGCCTCATTTACCACTCTACTGTAAAGTATATTGATACATCCTCCAGTTTAGTCAGACAGGAAACAATTCAAATAGACACCAAAAAAAAAAGGCAAGCTGAGTTTCTAAATTCTGAAAAGCATAAGTATATTATACTTGATTTACCTTTAAGTAACGTGCTTATGTATTTCTGGATTGAATTAATATTTCTCCCTTCATTAGAGTACCTGTCGAGAGTATTATTATCTAGGCATGAGGTGTATTGTCTGGGCAAATAATTTTTAAATACCCTGATATCGATGTCTATGCCCATGATTTTAAAGAGAAAAAAAATATTGTATATCAATAGTACTTCACTATGCTTTCCAGGACTTGTCATATTTTCTCCCATTCTCTCAAAAAGCTAACTTTATGACAACCCAATCCTAATTTAAAGATTTCTATGTGCAATAAGCCAAAACCTAAAAGCTAATACCATGGGATGGTATTTTTTTGGCCTTTTCTATAAGTGAACAGCAGTTCCACAGTCACCAATCTTCAATGAGTATCTCCCCTCTCACAAAATATGAAACTAGAAAGCAAAACAAAACCCCAATGAAAAGTCCTGACTGCCAGTCAAAGACTGCTGATATCTGATGGTGAATATCTGACACACAAATTGATGAACCGGGCTCTGCACAATATAACCTACTCGTTTCCAGCTAAATTAATGCTGTTTCAATGGTCTCAATGGATCACAATCACACAATATTTTGAATATCTGAATAAATGAAAAAAAAACAACCTGACCAACATATATGTGTGTAGTCAACCAGGTAAAAATCATCCTTTCTAAAAACTTTCTAAAAAATACTCAGCTTTGAGAGGCCTATGTACAGCCAAAATGCATACCATCTCACTGAAGGCTTAAAGAACTCCACTCATCCTCCTATGTGAAAGGCCCGAATTCTAAGCTTTATTTATCTCAGGAAGAAGATCTGTCACTGCTTTATTCCAGCTTCCTGCCCATAAAACAGCACAGAGCACACAGTAAGCTCACATCCAACTTACATCACTTTAATAAAGCCTTTCCTACACAGCGCATTTAAATGACTACCTTTTATATGGTTGCCAAACATATTCTTCTAGAGATTCATCAATATATCTCTTTCCTAATACAGAGCATTGCCTCTCCTTTCTTTTTGTGACACAATTCAAATATCTACTGAGTGATTACTCTTATTGTTTCCTTCCTCACCATAAAAAGAAAAGCAGACTTGGAATTGTGAAGACGTGCTTGAGAGAAATGGGCTGGGGGTACAGAGCCGTTTCCAGAACTTTGCTTCAGAGGCACCTGAGAGCCAGGGCATCTTAATTTATGTGCAAGGGTAGAATGTTAATTTCACCATAGGAAACTCTTAATTCATTACTGTGAATTATGAGAAGTCGTGATTCTAGTTACTGACATCTCGCTTTGAGATGTGACCACGCTATTTATGTTCAGCCAATTCTAGGGTGGGAACAGGTGATTAAACACAATGAAAGGAATCAAGACTTTTTAATTATTCGTTCATGAAAGGTTTACCTCACCTGGGTGGCAGCGCTGGTGAACCCATTGAATATCTTAGATAGCTTAGGTAGCTTTTCATCTCGGTGAAATTACTTAGCATTAGCCCTATAGAATATATTTTAAAAGTGCTTTTTGTGGGGAGCTTCTTTGGGCTCTGTTACTGTCCTACTCCTTTAAAAAAAAAAAAAAGAATCTTTATGACACCCAGAGAGTTAGTTGAGAAAAATATCTCCTTTCCCTACGTAGATTTACAACTGTGACAGTAAAAAGCCTTCACTATAGGGCCTTCCCCCAGCTTTTTAGATTTCTTCTCTAAGTACAGAGGCACAGAATTTTCAAGCTGGTTAATCTGAGACTGAATAACCTATTTGGAACCTCAGTAAGAAGTATGGTTTTAATTCTTGCTTGACAGACACTGTGTTTTGTCTTTTAAACGAGCAGCTCAATATGTAAATACGATGTTACATCACGCAAGCGTTACTCCATATTTGGTGATTTAGAAAGGCTTTGGATCTCCGAAGACGACAAATCCCCTTCCGCTTGCTCTTGCTTCATTAATCATGCCTTACACTTCTGTTCATTTTCCTTCCAGTCACAAGACAGCACATGGAAATGGTCATTGCCATATCCTACTGGGGGGTCGGGGCGGGGGATGGGGAATAAAATCCTAACCTGCATGTCATATAAGCTACATGTGGTGGATTTGAGAAACGTATGTTGTAAATGCAGCTTCCCTGGCAGCAGATTTCTCATATCACTAAAGGAAAAGTATCTAGTGTCATTGCAAGAAGCATTAAAAAAGAAAGAAAGAGCAAGAAAGAAAGAGAGCGAAAGCGAGAGCAAGAAAGAAGGAAAGAAGGAAAGAAAGAAAGAAAGAAAGAAAGAAAGAAAGAAAGAAAGAAAGGCCACATTTGATTTTAATGATCAAATTCCAGAGGGGGAGAGGAGAAATAATACGACATTTAATCCCCTCTGGACCACTGACCCACTGCAGTTCAACTCTGGTCAAAGTAGGTTGGAGGGACAAGTTCCAGTGAATCAATCCATTATATGCACTTCCCTTCCTAAAACTGAACAAACCTTCTGCCTTCGGGGGGGCAGGGGCGGGGAAACAGAGGGAAGTCATTCACTAACAGGCATGCCTGTTTTGTCAACACAGAATCGGCATTCAATTCATCTTATGTGTTAAATCACTGTTGTTTCATTTTTTAAAACATGTGTTAAGGGTCACTATATAGTGGTGCTGTTTATCTCTTAGAGTAGGGATTTAAGTCCCTCTGTTAGCCATTAATTCCTTTTCCCTTGAGCTGCTGAGAAACCCACACCCCTAGCTACCTCTCTGCTAAATTTAACCAAAGGAAGGAGAACTGTTGAATACACGTATGTATTTTTCCAAGAGAATTTTAACATTGTGTTATAGCAGAAACAGTGGAAGTCTGCACTGGACATTTGTAAGGGTGACATGCGGTTGTGTAAACCACAAACAAAATCAAGATACATCTGTCAAAACCACATCAGAGACAAGAGAGAGCACAGAGAAGCATTTATCATTTAGCTGAGGAGGCAGGCTGCAGGGAGCAGCCGTTCCTGTCAAACCAACCTTTTGAAATTTCCAACATGCCCTTAAACTTTTCGAGTAAGCATGTCTGTGCGCTTCAGCAACTGCCCTCTCTACTCTGGCCTGGCCAGTCGAAAATGGCATCTTAAAGTCAAGGTCATGGTGTCATCCCACCACAGGGCTGTGTTTAATTACAGCCCCATACGGGCTGACAGCCAATATGGATCCAAGGCTAGCCCCGTAGCACAGTTAACTCTTTCCAGCCCCTCCAAAATGCCCTGCCAGCCCACCCAACTTCACGGAAGCCTCGAAAACGAACTGCATCCAGAGAGGCCTGACCAGGCATTCTGACTCAAACAGGTCACTGGCTGAACTACAAATGCCCATATGGTCACTTTGCCTCTGATTCGTCACCAAGGCTGGAAGTGGACATTGGAAACTGGGCTGGGTGTAGTAAGCTTTAACACTTAAAAATGAGAAAGGGAGAGAAAAGGAAAGATATTTAGAATCAGCAGATCCAGAGAGAGGGCATCAGGTGTGTGTAACCTATTCTGCCTACATCTGACTCAAGTGAAGTGGAAAATATTTATTTTTGTGTGTTCTGGACATAAGCAATAGGAATGATTATTTCAACATTACAGGGCTGTCATGGACAGTCACATGGAGAAAGCATTTCACCACTCCTTAGTGCTTGGCTACAGCGCCTCTGAAAATGAAAAGAAAACATGCAAACAGCTTTTCTCCTTGCTTCTCATTTACCTGCTATGTGTTCCTGTTTGGGGCAAATTCCTCTAGATGACGTTGATAAACAATCGTCATCCTCTGGCGTGACCTGGATGCCAACCTCCACGGGATTGGATGCTTTTTTCATCTCGATTGGTGAAGGGGAAGGTGGCTTATCCACAGCTTTTTCTAAGCAGAGGCTGCCATTGCATTGTTTCCGTTTGTGCTCGATAAAAATAAGAATGTCCCCCAACGGGAAGTTCATCTGGCACTGCCCACATGTGAGGAGGTCATGGTCCCCTTCTGGAGCTCCCAAAGGGCCGTGGTCTGGTTCATCATCTGTAAGAATGGCTTCAAGAGGTTCGGCTGTGGTTGAAGAAACAAAAGCACAATTATTAGAGTGCCAGAAAGGAGAGAAATGGGGGAAATACATTCTCAACCCCATCCCACCCCAGCACATTACGTAAAGGGTTTCTAGGCTCCTCCATTTAATGCCCAGAAAAATGTAAGCACTTAAAATGCACAAGGATGTGAAGGTTGTCAATAAGAAAGTAAATTTATCAATGAGACAAATCGTCATATATTTAAAGAAAATTGTCTGACTTGCACACTTACAGAGAAAACACACACACACACCCCGTTCATGAGTTTAGAAAGAATGTAACTGTTAAATAAATAGTTAATGAGAAACATGAAAGAAAGCTTAAATAATAACTACCCCCTCAAAAAAACTGGTAAAAACATGGACTGAAACCAAATTTGTTTCTTTTTTCCTATAGACTAAGTTATCTATTGTGCCCAAGAATAAAAGGAGAGGTAAATAAACACACACATACCCTTTGTGTGTGAATGTATATGCTCCTAAATATACAGAGACATGGCTTCATAAATTAGAAAGCTACTACATCACACAGAAATGTGCCACGTTTACACTGCCATAATAAGAAAACGACGGCATTCACCTGTGAAACAGATCTAAATAATAATCATAACGCAGCATAATTCACACTGCCAAAAGCCTTTCTGATCTCACTCTCAGCAGTGCCACAAAATCAAAGAAATACCAAATTCACTGGCAATTCTTCTCAGACACATTAGCTAAATGGGATACTTTTGAGTACTTAAGAAAATAAGCCAATTAGTCATTTTTTCATTCTGAAGAAAGGAATGCCTAAAATATTCTAAACATGTTTGCACTTGGTGGCCCCCAACACATAAAAATCAGAATGGTCAAGCAAACGCCACATTTCAGAGCAAGGCTGAGAAGTCCTTTCTTTAGACTTGAAATACTTTGCCTAATGTTGTCAAAGTTGACTAATTTTCTGAATGAGCTCCAAAACGCTTCATTATGAGACTATTTCTGCACACAAAATCACCAGCGGATGCTATAACAAGGTAGATATGTCTTTCATTCCTGTTTCCTTTTTTTAAATTTGCACCCAAATACTCCAGCATCTATTTGAACAGTTTCTCTCATTTTTTAGCCTTTCAAAGGGGAAAAGAGAGTTGGTAAGTCTCTGCTCCTGAAACCTTATGCTTACTCTATCACACACATACACAAAATATCATAAAATACAAAACACATCCAGGATGCTGCCAGTTAATAAAACTGAAGCAGAAAATGTACAAGTCTTAAACAGTTAATCAGTCTGACCTTCTTTAGCAAGCTGCCAATTTCACATTTAATGAACTTAAAGCCACAGAGAATCAAAAAATAGATTTTAATTTGAGTGTAGAATATTGGAACAGATTTTGATAAAGTGCAAAAATCCAGTGAACTCAGGTTAAATTTATTTCAACCCTACCCAGGCTGAATATTGAGGGGGAAGATCTGGAGTAACTCCCAGATGTGCTGGGTGAAATAATATTGAGAGAGCCCTGCCTAGCTGCACCTGTGCTCAAGTAGGACATGTCATAATTTCTAGCCTCTGGTACTCCTCCTAATTTAACATAAGGTCACCACAGGAATATGAAGGTTATATCCCTACTAATAAAGACAGCAACGTAAGCACTTATATTACTTTGCCCAACATACTGACCAAAGATAAATACAGAATACATATGCATACTTCTCAAATAAAAGAAGACAAACAGAAGTGCTTTTGCATTATGCTTCTATGTCATTTTTCTCCTACATTTGCTTTCATTTTGACCAAGTGAGGAACTGAATAGGGAAGTCATTCTCTAAGATCCCTCCTATTTGAATTAAGGAATTTAAGTACACATTAACGAATGTGGCCTTTTTTGTTGTTGTTCAGCATTAACTACAAGTCCTGAGGTTTACAAACTGAAGATAGACTCAGGGAAAATATTTTATTAAAGTCAGAAGTACACAGAACCTTTGCAAAAAAGCCATTTTTTAAAATCCACCGTGAAGATTTGTTTTTTATTCCCGAGGCCTGAAACATTTCTGCAAATGGAAATATTATTTAGGAGCAAAAGAAAATATTCTCCTAGGTATCAAATAGTTAAAGGTAATGCAGTATAAAACAGACTTGGTTAAAGTCTTCTAAATGTAGTGACTGAACTGATTTACAATCAAAACCAGGAAATGAAGTGGTAATTCAGAGGTTGCTGATTACACCTCCACATTTCACCTAATTAATTTTATAGGAGGCAAAGTTCTTGAAAATAACAAGATGATCAAATGTACAGATATAAAACCTATAACCTCAACATTTTCTATGCTCTTAACGTAAATTATTGCTAATTAACAAGAATTATATCCTAACGTATGAAATACATTTAACATCGGGCTCCCTGCTAAACATTTGGCTAGTGATGTTCAGAGAAATACCAAAATGTGTTCTTATCATTGCTGGTATTAATATTAAAAATCAGACGAAGTGGGGCACAAAGAAAATATGAAAATACAATTCTCTTGGTGTAATCTACTGATTTGCATTGACATCTTTTCTCAGTGGCAATCAACATTTCCTTTCTGGGCATCTGATAATTTCTCTGTATTTTAATGCAAATTTCCTTTTCCCTAAAAACATTCCTAACCTCAGCCATTTTACCCCCTCCCTCAGTTCAATTCCATCCTCCTTCGCCCCCACAATACCATCGTTTCTAAGCTGCGGCCTAAGCTCTGGCTACAAAGCGGGGAGTCCAGGATTGAAGTGGAAGGGAGTGGGCAAATAATCATAATAATTAGCCGCGAATTCTCTACAAGGGGAAAAAGAAATAGAAAATAAAATGCTTCTGCGTTCAAACAGCAAGACTGAAACGTCTCAATGCCCCAGCGGCTGACTGAGATCTCTTTCCTCTGCAGTTGCAAAGGAATAAATTAAAAAAAAAAAGCCTTAGAAGAAATGTGGAGAAGCAGCAAGGGAAACGAGGGCTGCTGGGGAGGGGGAGGGGAAAAGAGCGCTGCCTTCAAGTTTGCTTTCCAAGTCTTCCCTTTGATTGTCTTAACAGGGTAAGGAAGCAAACGGAGGCTGAAATGCAGAAAGAAAAAGCAAAGAAACAAAAGAGAAGGCAGGGGCGACAGGCCCAGGGCAGGGGGCCTGGCGGAGGTGGGCTTTGCAGAAACTGAAGTTGGGCGCCGGGACTCTGAAGCACAAAGCGAGCAGCGTGCTGGCCGTAAGCTTGGGCCACGCTCGCTGCAAACACGTGCAG